TTTTTTTTTTTGGGGGGTGGTGGTGGTGGTGGTGGTGTTTGGGGGGTTATGGTTCTTTAATCAGTTATCTTGTGGGTTTGGATTTGAATTAAAAATTAGGTACACCAATTTCTATCTCAACGTCATGTTAAGCCTAGTTTTTGAGTTAAATTTTGCTAATCTGTTTATTATATTTCAGTCATTTCTTTGTTTTACTTGCCTTATTTATCTTTTGTGTTTTGCTAGAGTGCGATGAATCATGATGCTATCATGAATGCTCATGATGAAGAGAAGTTGAAGCTAGAGGAGCAGGCATCCCAAGTAGCTCAGAGAGCTGCAGAAGCACTGCGACAATCAAGAATGCTTCGAAGTCGAGAAAATGTAGCAGTGCCAACTTGGACTGGCAAATCAGGAGCTGCTGGGGGGCCATCATCTGTTAAAAGGAAATTTGGTTCTACTGTTAATCCTCAATTAACCAGTAAGTTATCTGAAGAATCATTGAATGACTCTGCTAGTAGGGCAAATGCTTTTGCTGCTGGGGCATCTGCTGGAAAAGCATTATCTTCAGCGGAGTTATTGGCTAGGATTAGGGGGAACCAAGAGAAAGCCGTTAGTGATGGACTTGTGCATCAGTTTGGTATGTCGGCTTCAACCTCAAATGGCAGAGCAGGTTCTCTAAATAGTGGGCATCGGAGTGCATCTTGTAGCTACGTAGTTCAGCCAGAGGTGTTGGTTCGCCAGATCTGCACGTTTATACAACAGAGAGGTGGGAAAACCAATTCAGCCAGCATTGTAGATCATTTCAGGGACCGGGTACCATCAAAGGATCTGCCACTGTTCAAGGGTCTTTTGAAGGAAATAGCGACTCTGGATAAACAACCTAGTGGATCTTTTTGGGTGTTAAAGCCTGAATACCAGGATCAGTAGCCCCTTCCTATTTCAAACATATGATCCGTAAACTTCGCCTCTGCTTCTTCAGAAATGACATACCATATAGCAGCTAGAAACATCTCAAATGATTCAAAGTTCATTTTGCAGTTAAAAGTTTATCATTCCTTCTGGGGTCAGGGTTGTTCGTTAGGCTGAGAGACTTCCTTTTTAGTTCTCAGCATCTTTGGTCAGTATAGCACTCTAGGTTGATGGACCTATGAGTAGTGTACATAGTTGGATCATTCTTTTGCTTCCCATAAATCATTGGTTTTTCTTTGTAACAGGGATAGTTGATGCACCAAAAATGAAGCTGTGCAAGAAATTGTTTACTTTTGCTTTGTCTTACACAGTAGCTACTCGTTTCATTGGATTGCTATGTGCGAAATGGAGCACTATGGAGGTTCATGCTTGCATTGCCTGACTAACTTAACCAATGGACTTACTGCTTATTATTCTTTTACCGTGTAACACGTAACTTTTGCTGCCGTTAAACTGGTATTTTAGCAGGTCGACTTTTATTTGGTTGCAGTTGATATAGTTGAACTTTGGAGGAGTGAGCAAAGTGAGAAAATTCAATTATTACCTGTAAGAGGTTTGGAAGTATTTCAGTTACTCAAAGCCTGAAGGAACAATTTCTTCTTCGAGAGAGCTATATAATTCAACTTCTTATTGTTTTGTTGAAATTCTATGGATCAGTAAATTGGATGCACGTTAACAGACAGTTAGCAGGAGAACAACATCGTCTAGTCATTGACCCCCCAAAAAAAGGAAATGAAATTTGAGGAATTTGGGAAATTTGTTCGATGGGGTACCCAAAAGGAAAGCTGGGAACACGTGTAGATCCCAAATGAGGACAAGAAAGAAAAATATGAAGGTGAAAGTTCTTTTACATACACTATAAAATCCGAAGAGGAACATCTTTTAAAAACTTTAAAATCCAAATTCTGTTTGTATTCAATGATCCAATAACTTAATTTTCTTATGGTTCGAAAGAAATAAGTAGTAATCATTTTACATTGCACTTATGATGTCTTAGCAGAACCATAGCAGCAGCCAAAACAACCTATCGTAGTTTTCATTATTTGTTCGACACATTTGTACTTTTGTGGCACTGGTTGACAGACGTACAGTAGGAAGACAAATTTTACAAAGAGTAGGTGTAGCTATTTTGCACTAAGATGCCAGCATGAGAAAATGATCAAAATCATTCTTAATGTACCTTGATATATGCCATTTAACAGAATTAGTCCTTAATATATGTCAAAAGTGAATCGGTTTGCTCCTAAACCCTAAATCTGTTAGAATTTTAACAATTGCATTTCTCTCCTCTCTTCTCCTTGCTTAATCTACTTCCCTATTTCCTTCTTCCATTTCTGATGAATATAGAAAACGTCTGTTTCTTGTTTTTTCTGTGATTTCTTCGACTTAGGGTTTAGGATCAAACCTATCCACTTTTCACATATATTAAGGACTATTTTTGTTAAGTGGTATATATCAAGGACCAAAATAATCCAACCCCCATATTAAGGACGATTTTGATCATTTCCTCGTGCCGACACTGGTAAGATTCTTTTGAGCAATGTACCATTTGAGAGAATGCCAAAAGCCTCCGGAGCAAAGAAAGAGTACAATTAGCGCTCAACGCTTTGGTTTAGTGATAAGAGCGCAACAAAATGTGGGTTAGACGCACATCACATATTCAAGCTATATTGCAGACAAAAGTCCAATATTTAAGTGGAGAAAGATAGAAGGACGAACCTATTATTCACCAATTTCGAATTGTGCCACCACTTAGCTATAAAAGAAAGAAATAAACACAACAAATAAAAAGCATGTCTAATCATATAAACTTATAGTCTGTTTGACCAAGTTTCTCCAAGTTGAGAAGCACTTTTTTTCAAAAAAAATGTTTTTTTTCAAAAAAAATATTTTTTTTGAAAGTTAAAGTGTTTGGCCAAGCTTTTAGAAGAAAAAAAAAGTGCTTTTGAGTAGAAGCAAATGTAGTTTTGGAGAAGCAGAAAAAAGTAGTTTTTTCCCGGAACCACTTTTTTGAGAAACACTTTTTGAGAAAAATACACTTAAAAACACTTTTTAAAAGCTTGGCCAAATACAAATTGCTGCTTAGAGGTGCTTTTCAAATTAATTAGCCAAACATAAACTGGTTTTCACCGAAAGTACTTTTGAAAAAGCGCTTTTGAAAAAAAACACTTCTCAAAATAAACTGATTTTTCCAGCTTGGCCAATCAAGCTATTAATGGATTACACCAAGGACTTGGTCTTAAATTATTTGTAATACATAAAGAGTACGTTCTCCAAAAATCATGTCACTGCAAGAAATCTGTTACTTCTGGAAAGCTCGACAGAGGTTTGTGTAAACGGTAAAATAAGATACTTTCCTTATTGCATGTAATACAGAGACTCAATTCAGATGTCAAGCAAGTACATTAACATATTCCATTGCAATTATCTTCCAAAATGTGAGGAAAAAACCACCATGAAATTTCTCTTCCATTTTCTGAATCTCGGTCTATTTTACTATGGTAATACAACAGCGATCATACATGTCAGCCATATTTAATACACAAAATTAAAACGCTGCCCATCCAGCTGCTGTGGTTTTACTTGATCCGGATCCCGTGGCTGAAGGCAGGCTTCTCTGTAGATGCCAATAAGGATATTTGCTATTAAAAGACTTTGCTCATTTCAACATCAAATAATCTCTCATAGTGCAGTCATAGTAAATAGGTAAAAAGCAGATATCACATGAATCATACGGTTATATAAATCAAAACTGACACACCACAAAGCTATAGGTTTAGAAACCATATAATCATTGAACCAAATGTTCCAATCAACAATTAAGACAGCATATTTTTTGTTGTTTTTGGATAGAGCAACCTATGTTCCATAGGTATCTTCAATAAACTCTTTTGTAAAATTAGCACACTGAAGATACCTTTTAATTCCAACATTTCGATATCATAAGATTTGTCATCAATATTTGCAGAAGAACAGCAGGCAACAATAGTAAAACCAAGTGGATAAAAAAAATATCAAAGGTCTGTTAGGATGTTTTGTTGATCAAAGTCCTTGTTAGCTATTACTTCTTGACTGAAGGTGCACTAACAAAGGCTTGGGATTTGAGGTTTAGCAATATGCAAAGAGCGACCTTCACAAGGAGCATTAAACAGGATGATAAGAAAGTACCTCAATTTGAGAGAGATCTGAAAGCGGATCAGTGGAATGCTTGGTGTTTTCCTTTAGAGCAATACTGGGAGAGATAGAAGTCTTCCGAGCAGTAGCTGGATCATTTGGAGGGGGTGGAAGAGGAGACCTAATCTTGTTACCTCCACTAGGCGGAGGTGCCAGGGCTGGAGTTTTATTCACAGCTCCTGTAGTTCCAGCCGCCAATCCCACAGCCGAAAGCATGCCTGTCCCACTAGATGGTTTGTTCTTCACACTTATCCGGATTGTTTCACCTTCCTATACACAAAACTACCAAAAGTTATTCCCTTAAATAGCAAAGATTGTTATCAGGATAATCCAATGATGACAACAACAACTACTATAATTACTTTTAAACGCAAGTACTGACACAAATCATTAATCAATAATCATGACATGAACATATTGCTATATCAAATACTGGGACAGAGCTAGCAACATTAAATCCGATCGAGAAGATCAAGGAACTGGAGAAATGAAGAGAATAACAAGAAAACCAATTCAATGAAACAAATTATAGGGCAGGCATCCACATAACATCATAGTTTTCCTTGCACCAGTACTTAGAACTAATAAGAAACAAACACCCAATAAGATGAATAAGACCGATTAAGAATCAAACAGACCACGCAATTTTATGCTCCCAAACACTAGCAAAAAGAAAAGGTGTAGTCATGGTAAAAAAAAAATATCTCCAAGGCTCTAAAGTTAACAAATAGATGCTTGAAGCATACTAGATTTGCAAAATTAAGCTCATCTTATCATTTGCCTCTTCGCTAGCATTTGCTCAAATTCATCCTATATTAACTCAACTCCAAGTTAAGCTGTATACTGCCTTTCAAATCCTACTTAGCTATATCTTTAAAGCCCGCCTTTCATTCTATTACAAACACATTCATAAAAAGCATCTAAGGAATTCTAACTTCAATCAATCCAGATTAGCAGAATGACTGATATTCCTTGCTAATTATCAGAAAATCACTTACTCACAAACTTCCAGAAAACGATTATAGCTCAAACGCATACGATTTAGGTTAAGTTACTACTCAATTATCCTTCTTAAGCAACTGAATCACCAAACTGAAAAGAAAATTTAATTATCACAGACGAAGTTGAGTACCTTTAATCGGTGATTAACAGCAGGATGAATATCAATGTGATTATCATCACCAGCCTCACCATCTCCAACTTCCTTCTCATTCTCTCTCTTCACATACTTCTCGTGATCAGACAATGCCACATTGAAATCGAATGCTTCGTTCCTTTCATTAAACCCTAGCCCGATGAACGCGTGCTTCCCTCTCCCATCCTCGATCTTCAACACGAAGTACCTCGACGAGTCGAGCACCGATTCAACCGAGCTCTCTCTCTGTCCCGGCGGCACGAAACACGCCGCGAACAGCTCACCGGAGTTTGGATCCTCGAGTCGGATCTCGCATCGTTCCTTGCACGATACGACCCGGAGCCGACCCGTCCAGATCTTGTCGGATTGTAGCCATTCGCCGCACTTGTAACCACCACTCGTTGGCCGTGGTGGGATTTTGAAAACGGACACCTCACGCACCACCAGGAGCGTGTGCTCAAACGACTCTTCGTCCTCTTCAAACGACATTGCTTTGTAGATCAAAAGGCTTCAGTTTTTCTCAGGCGTTTGAGTGCAGAATTTTTGGAGTGAAGAAGGAAGGTGACGTTTGGTAGGAGAGACGTGTTGGACTGAGTTCAATTACTTATTTGCCCTCATTTACTTTTCATTATTCCTTTTATGTCCCTAATTTTTCCGCGTTCTTTATAATGGAACCCTAATGACTGTTCTGTGTCAATTTTTTAGCTCCTTAAACCGGCGAAGCAGCTCAGGTACTTGCTAGGGTTTTAGTACTACAACATTTTTGCAGTTTTTGTTTGCTCTGTAATTCTGAGGTTTCTTGTTTACTGTTGTTGTCTGTAAACAGCTGAAAAATTAGCGAGGATGTATCTCCAGTTTTACATCAATGAGAATGGTGACAAAGTTTACACCACTAAGGTATTTCTCTTCTGCAAAATCATTTTTTACTAGTCTTATTGAGTACTCTATTTTTCTTTGTGCTTCACACTTTGACAGTTTCATAGGGAAACTTTTTTTTCCGTTGGTATTGGACTTGAACAAAGCTTTGTCATGTTTTGAAAGGGGACGCTATCAGAACATGTCAGCTTACGATGTCTTTTCAGTCAAAATTCTTTAATGTATTATTAGCATAAAATCATGGCACACCCAATTAATGACATAACTGATTATTTGAGATCCAGTAATTGATATGGTATATACCTTTTTCTGTTCAATTAGTAGGTACGTTATCTTTGTTGCCATTAGTGGAACTAATCTCTAACACATTTGTAGAGAAATCATGATAGTGGAAGAATAACAATGGAATTGGAAATAAGCCCATAACTCTCCGGAACTCTTGGTTTTAGCACCATAATTAATGGTTAGGCTAACGGTTGCTTGGCACATTGGAGAGCTTTTGGGTACTAACCTGTTAGGTTTTCTAGAACCAGATGGTTTAGCTGTCCTTTTTCTCCATTGGTTATTAGAGTTATCTATCCTTCTAAGCTATGTACTGGCCATAACAGTGAGCTATGTAAAAGTAAGTTACCTTATTCATAAAGCTCAATCTCAGTTTACTCATTGAGGGAAGTTACAAGGCAGCTTGCTTGTATAGAGCCTTTTTGGGCATTTGTCTGGGATTGATATTTGAGTTTGGATTCATGTTTACAACTAAGTTAAGCTCATCTGACGTTCTTAAATGGAACTCTCCTTCCAGGTTTACATAATAGAACCAGTAGTGCTTGAATGTAGCTATAGTGCAGCCAGAGAAAATAAAAGTTTAACCTGTTCCTAAATTCTATTATTCAAACTGTATTCTGTCTGAAACTGTCATCTTGGTTGGATGACATCCTGTAAAAGCTTTATGCTTTGATAAATTTGGTTCTGGGAAACCAGATACTGATAAGGGAGATTTGCTTGACAGCATTGATAACTTTTGGTGATAGTTTATGATTTGCAGGATGAATGACTGATATGGTTCAGTGTAACACGTAGGCTGTAGCATACATTGAACATTTTGACACTCATGATTCATGAACTGGAATTTAACAAGCTGGAAATTTTCAGTTGGCATAACAGATCCTCTGCCCCACTTTATGTTCTTTCTTGGCCTGCTATTGCTCATGCCATCCCAAGTCGTATATTCACTTTCTTGATTGTGGCGATCTATCAAAGAGAATTTTTGCTTGTACTTTCTCAACACGTACATAGGCCTGACTTCTTTTACTTTTTATAAATGTAGAAAGAGTCACCACTGGGTTTGGCCACAGAATCCGCTCACCCAGGTAATCCACAGGTCCCTCTCTTTATTGTATCTATGCTGGCACTTCAGTACAAACTACAAGCGTTTGTGACTTTTCTTTTTAACTGGTATTACATTTCAACATACAGACAATTGACCAGTTCTTTTTTGCTGTTATTGATATTTCCTGGATTATGTTCTTTGCAGCCCGCTTTTCACCCGATGATAAATATTCAAGGCAAAGAGTGCTTCTGAAGAAGCGATTTGGTTTGCTTCCAACCCAAAAGCCACCTCAAAAGTACTAGAATTTTTTGTTATTGTGTATTGCTTCCTACTCATGGTTATTATGTTTATGTCTTGCCATTGTTGACGTGACTCATTATGTGTTGTAACTCGAATTGCATGGCAGCAATTCAAACCCTGATCTCCGGTTGATGGTTTTTTGGTTTAATTGTCGAAATGGTGGATGGATGTGCATGCAATTCTTCTCTGTTTATTTATCTTTAGAACAATCAATGTTTGTTGTTTAGGTGATGTTGACAAGGTGAAAAAGAGCCTTCCAACTCTTGTTATTTAGGTGATGTTGCTAATTACATGGTGAAAAAGTCTTCCAACTCTTCTTATGAGAGGAGCCAAAGGTTGTATCGAATTTGATCTATACAATATCAGATAGTCATATAAGTAAAAGCATGGAGAAGACAGTAGCAGAGTTATTGTAATGATCTCTAATCGTCAACCGACATTAAAGCAGGGGATAAGAAGAGTGGATGATTATAGTCAATACCAGTTGCTTGATTTCCAACATTTTGATTCTCTTGGTCACCAGTGATTTGAATTCCTGGTGTTTTCCCCAATTGTTCATCAGAAATTGCTATTTTCTTGTTGATTCAAGATTTCACGAATCTGGTAATTGCAGTTTTTGACAGAAGACAGAAATGAACAAAGAAAGTAATATAATTTGTAATTCGAATTGAGAAGTAAGCTAGCTTTCTGAGCTTAGTAGCTTTGATACTGTGTTGTGATTTACGAAAAGTTTACATAGAAGGTTTTAGGAAGAAGAAGGCATAGTCATGAGAGAGAGAGAGAGAGAGAGACGAAGAGAGCTAAAATTCTGTATATTGTATTAACTAGTGGAGGCTAAGTACATATATTTATGCACTACTATTAATTGTGTATTCTTAACTAATTAACTAACTCCCTAACAACTATTAACGGCTAATAATAACTTTTAGATACAAAAACTAAATTATCCTCACATTATTTAACATAAAGTGAAGACATTGAATTATTTGGTATTTTTGTATCTATTGAAAGTCACCTCACATATAAAAATTTCCTCTTAAATAAAGGGATTTGAGACATGGCAAATAAAGACTGCTTCCCGATGATAGACAACTCCAGTTCTTACTTTCTTGTCTCGAAGAATTATCATAGAAATTTAAAATAGAATATTCAAGAATTATCGCCTTGAAATTGGATGGATCATGCATGAATTACGCCTTGACAATCCCAATATGAACATACCACCTAAGGTAATTTTTTGGTCTTTCTTCTCATTGAACATTTTGCTTTCAAGTCGACTAAGTTTTATCTGGTGTAAAATAGTGCACGTTTAATTTTATTTGACTGAATCCAATAGATATTATACACGTAATTTTCCCTATTGCCAACTCATATTTCATATAAGTACTTACATAAATTTATATCTCAATATATATCTTTATTCCTTTCAATTTCCATAGGCTGGTTATTTGTCCTTTCATTTACTTTCAAAATATTAAACCGTCAAAATAATTTTCAAAGAAAACTTGTAAGCACTGATAAGTAGGGATTTGGACATTATTTCACTTGAAGTTGAAAATATATTTAATTTGATTAAAATAGTTGAAATAAGTTTGGTGAAAGTTGACCGAGAGGTTTGATTCCGGAAGTTGAGAAATTATTCTATTGACAAGTGACTAGATAAGTTTTTTTTGTTGGAAACTTCTCAGAAAGCTCCTATCTAGTTCAAAAGCCAGTTGGAACAATGTATAATAAAAGAAAACAGGTAAAGGCTAAGTGCTGGTTAGATTTTAGTTATATGGGAGTAAATCCAAAATTATTTCCTAACTTAGTAAAAAACCTAACAACATTACTAATTTTGTGGGATATGATGATTGAACAGGAAGATTGGGTGACATGAGATGTGATGTAGTATTTTAGTTGTCATGAAATTAAAGTCTCACAAATTTAATCAATTCCTTAGATTCTAATATCAAGTGTGTCTTTGCACTCGTTCCTTTGAAGAATCTTCAATATCAGAAAATATTAGTTCAAACTTTGTCCAATATTTTGTTATGGTTTCTTTGACTGTTCTAGTTAAGACGTTTTTGATATTGTAGAGATTCAAAAGTTATCTCTAGTAATTACCAATATATGAATGATCGATTCAACTCTGATAATACAAATATACTTTGGTTATATTTAATTTCTTCGACTAATGATCTTATTATTCCCGTGGAGAGAGAACCTATCATTAGTTTTTTGGGAGAATTTTAGAATAAATAATTTCAATCAATTTCTTATTTTACTATGTTCAACTCCATGTGCTATAGCCCCTGCAATTTCACTTTGGCCCAAAGAATTAACATTAAGAATCTGCTTTATTTGCATCAATCTAGCACAGATTAAAATTTGGAATGAATAATTTCTTATTTTATGCCCGTATATATTTAGATCATTCGGTTTACAACACCTAGAATTAAATTAGTTGTGATTGTTTGTTGATGATAGAATTTGAGGTGTGTCATTGTCTATGGGGAATCCAAAATATGATAGGCTTCCATCATTGCTCACATGTGTATCTCTGTTGGTGCACAACCCAGAAATGTGTTAGTAAAGAAGAATTTGTTTAGTAACATGAAGGAAGAAGACAGAGGCGGCAGAAGCTAAGCTTTGATCTGGAGTTTCTCTTTGGGTTAAAGAAAGATGAACTATTCTTTTATGTTGGACCCGAGTTTGAATTCTTTATTTGTTTGGGTTCTATTGAGTTGGGCTCCGTCTGGTATCAGGCCAAGTTAAAGCAAATGTCTAGTTTAATTATATAAGGATTCAACTGGCTGCACAAATTCTTCTAGAAACATGACATGCTAGAATAATACGTTGTAAATATTTTTCTTACATGAGATTATCCATTAGTTTGTTATAATATATACAATCAGAGTAGGACACCTGTACTAGGCAGTTATTTGTAAGATTCTTTTTTACTGTATTTATACAAGCATTGTACAAAACGATTTCATCAATCAATACAAAGAAAATTTCCTACGTTCCTTCTCTATTTTGACATGGTATCAGAGCAGGTTTGATTTTCTCCTTTATAATTCCAAAAACAGTCTC